GATTCCCCATTTAAAAAACACATTGTTTTTGGTTTAAACAAGCTTTATTTCTTTTGGATATTACAAGCAAGGAATTGGGGGATTCCCCGTACAGAAACTAGATGGTTGTTGGTGAAAACAAACTTTATTTCTTTTGGATATTACAAGCTCGATTTTTTTTTTATAAAAATAGAAATTATAATTAAGATAACAAACAAATTAAAGCTTATGATAAATAGCCGCCCGCTACCCATACGTACAAACAGTAATTAATATACGTACAAATAGTAATTAATATACGTACAAACAGTAATTAATATACGTACAAACAGTAATTAATATACGTACAAACAGTAATTAATATACGTACAAACAGTAATTAATATACGTACAAACAGTAATTAATATACGTACAAACAGTAATTAATATACGTACAAATAGTAATTAATATACGTACAAACAGTAATTAATATACGTACAAACAGTAATTAATATACGTACAAACAGTAATTAATATACGTACAAACAGTAATTAATATACGTACAAACAGTAATTAATATACGTACAAACAGTAATTAATATACGTACAAACAGTAATTAATATACGTACAAACAGTAATTAATATACGTACAAATAGTAATTAATATACGTACAAACAGTAATTAATATACGTACAAACAGTAATTAATATACGTACAAATAGTAATTAATATACGTACAAATAGTAATTAATATACGTACAAACAGTAATTAATATACGTACAAACAGTAATTAATATACGTACAAATAGTAATTAATATACGTACAAACAGTAATTAATATACGTACAGACAGTAATTAATATACGTACAAACAGTAATTAATATACGTACAAATAGTAATTAATATACGTACAAACAGTAATTAATATACGTACAAACAGTAATTAATATACGTACAAACAGTAATTAATATACGTACAAACCGTAATTAATATACGTACAAATAGTAATTAATATACGTACAAATAGTTATTAATATACGTACAATTTTAGGAATAATTAAATCATCCTAGATAAAGACGAGACAATCCTCATCGAAAAGTTGTTAAAAATAAATCATTTAAGTAACATGTATTCCATATAAGTATGTCATGTGGTATTTTCATTTACTTACTAAATGTCGCTTAATGCTAGGTTCCCTCTGCCGTGCGTGACGATAGGGTTGTCCCTATTGAGTCCACGGTCTGTTACGTGCAGAACCGTTCGGATACGATCAACATGATTGCTATGACTGACCTCAATATGTGATAAGACGTGATAGGATCATCACGATTACTCCGCGATTAAAACCACGATTTCAATCGTAGCACGAATCGTGATAATGGGAACATGTTTAATAAATCGGATCTGTAGAGCGTTTACCAGAATTAGTAAGGGGCGGTGGGAGGTGAAGAATGTATGTATCTACACGGACTTAAAAATAAGGCAATAATATAGCAAATAGTTATTTAAAAATGAATGTACTTTGTATAAATCAGAAAATATTTCATCAATTCGAAAATGATAACATATAGGATATATATACGAACTTAAAAATAGAGACATAATAAAGTAAATAATTATTTAAGAATTCATGTATAAATTAGAAACTATCTGATCAATTATAAAAAAAGGATGATATATAGGAATGATATTTAATACAAATAGCTTTTAAAGTTTAATATAAATTAGACAATAGTATATCAATTATAAATAGCCACACTGATCCGCAGTAAATATTCGCAAGGCCGCGACAATCACTGATAAGGATGACATCGATGCGACTTAATGAGCCACAAATATTAACTTTTTTCCCTCCGACAAATTAAATTCTAAAACATAGTTTTTATGTATTAAAAAAATAAATAAAGACGTTTGAAGTTTTTGTAGGTAAAAATTATTTCCTATTTTAGTGTAAATGGATATTAAAATGGGTAAAAGGCGCCATTCTGCTCGAATCAGTAACGTTTTATGTAAACAATGCACGCGCCATTGAGCCAATGGTTGACTCCGCGTGATATGACGTCATGTGTTGAAGGCAGTCATCTTTTACAGAGATATTAGAATACTTTCGTAATACTCTATAAAACAGATTGACAAATAGCATAATATATGCATACAAAAATATAAGTAGGGACTATGTATTTAAGAATAGAGTAATTTTGTATAAATTAGAAAATAATTATATCAATTACAAAAATCGTAAAAAAATATGAATGATATAAAAATACAAATTATGTAGTATGAATTCGAAAATAGTTTAAAAATTACAACTGGCATAACATAGGCATACAAAAATATAAGTAAGGACTATGTATTTAAACATACATTATGCAAGAACTAAATCTGCCAATTGCAGGTCTTTCTTTGGGCCTGAAATGTTATCTAAATTATTAATTAGACATTAATTAACTTATCCAGACCATAATCAACTATCGATGGCATCGCTAGCATGCGATGTTTATTGGATTAGGTTCCGATTTGCTGTTCGACTTCCATTCGTAATTATATCATGAATTGGATAATCGAGACTATGGTTTTTTTTATCCTACCTGCTTTTTGTAATGATGATCAAGACTAGGCCGAAAATTAAATTGTTAAAATCTCGATTCATTGTGGATCAATTTGACTGAAATTTTCATCAAATTCCCTTTACATTATCTAGTTTTTAACTGTTATAGTGAGAACTGACAGCTCTTTATCTAATCTCCCATAATGTATCTTTAAGAATACGGTAATTGTTTTATAAATTAGAAAATAGGACATGTATATCAATTACAAAGAGCGAAAACAAATATGAATGATATAAAAATACAAATACATGTAGTATGAATTTAAAAAATAGTATATCCAAATATAAACATCATAAAATGTAGCTAATTAAGAATGCACTTTGAGTATATCGAATACAAATATCATAAAATATAGCTAATTAAGAATGCACTTTCTGGTATAAATTAGAAAATAGTATATCCAATCCAAATGGCATAAATTCTGGCTAATTAAGAATGCATTTTCTGGTATAAATTAGAAATTATTATAACAATAATAAAAAGCATAACATACAGGAATGATATAATTATAATACGTACAAATGGCTATAGAATGAATTTGTTTAGTAAATAAATTAAAAACTGATAGCTATTAAAATAGCTACTAAATAATACGTGCATCTGGTATAACTTAGGGGGGAGACGGAGAAATAGCGTTTAACGTCCACTCGACAAAAATTAGGTCATCTAGGGACTAACATATGTGCGATTTCTTATTTCAATAATTCGATTACGCGAATGCGTTTGTAGCTGTGGTAGGAAACCGGGGGACCCGGAGAAAACCCACGATTCTGGACAGGCGATCCTACTCCTTGTCACGTTCAAGCGGAGAATTGAAAACCAATGACTCAATGACAGACCTTATGATCTAACGCACACGCGTTAAACCTTTTACCAAACTCCGCCTATTATTATCAAGATCTTCGTCTTGTTTACTATACCGTATTATGGACTTGGCACTTTTATCATCAGAAGCTTTTGTCACCGGGAATACATTACAAAAATGAAATGAAATGAAATGGGGTTTAACGTCCTACTGTTCTGCTCCTAACCTGGGTTAATGAAGACGGGCATACGCCATACAGTGTGCTATGAGGGAAATTTTGCAAGGGCAGCGGCGCTACGGCCTACTCTTATATCGAATTCCAACTGCCAAGGGATCTTTTATGTGCACGCCAATGTGTACACGGGACCTCGGTTTTTAGTACCATCCGAACGACTAGACAGCTGTCCTTGTCAGGCCCCCCGCCCTGCATCACTGACAAGGGGAAACCACGCCGGAAAATCGGGATGAGAATACATTACAAAGTAGATATATTGTGTACAGATCAGTAAATGGGGCTTTATAGAATATGACAAATGGTGGATAACAATGCTTTGATATGCAGCATTCATTTAACATAAAGTATGCTTCAATATGCAATACGTATGTTACAAAATCAATGTTTTGAAATGCAACATTCATTTTACATAATTAATACATATGTTACATGATTAATGATTCAATATGTAACATTCATTTTACATAATGTATGCTTCAATGTGAAATGTATATGTCACATAATCAATGCTTCAATATGCAAAATTCATTTTACATAATCAATGCTTCAATAATTCATGATCTAATACGTAACAGTCATTTTACATAGTCTACGTCGTATTTTTTAATATATAAATGTTACATAATTTATGCTTAAATGTGTAATATTAATGTTACATAATTAATGCTTCAATATGCAATGTATATGTTACATAATTATTGCTTCAATATGCAAAATTCATTTTACCTAATCTATGCTTCAATATGCAATATAATCATATCATGTTACATAATTAATGCTTTATACAATAACAAAATAACGTTATATTAGTTAGGTTGATGCTTACAAGTAGAATATTAAACCCCAGTTCATGTATGTATGCATTCATTTATTTATACTTACCAATACTTTATATAAACAAAGAAATATATACACATAACTGATGTATATGAGAAAGAAACAGTAAATATAATCTTTAATTGACATTTAGCGATTTAGAAACACATTATCAGAATTTAATTTTTGTGAGAAACAGTCGCTGGTTTTATTACAAGTATTCTCTTATCATTAATAATCAATGTTTTCCATCAAATGCCAGCGCTGTTTTAAGCCATGATTTATATTTTTGATTTGTTTTATTTGAATGGATCAGAAAATCAAGCAGGGGAACATTGTATGTATTGTATGTATGTATTGTATGTATTGTATGTATTGTATGTATGTATTGTATGTATTGTATGTATTGTATGTATTGTATTGTATGTATGTATGTATGTATGTATGTATGTATTGTATGTATTGTATGTATGTATTGTATGTATTGTATGTATGTATGTATTGTATTGTATTGTATTGTATTGTATTGTATTGTATTGTATTGTATTGTATTGTATTGTATTGTATGTATGTATGTATGTATGTATGTATGTATGTATGTGGTGTATAAATTATATGATATTTTAAAACAATACTCCATATAAAAATAAATAATATATTATGCGTTTCTCTAATATAAACATTAGCAAGAATTAGCGGTGGGTCTTACACATATTTACTATAATCAATACAGATTAATTCCACTGGTTGATTGTTCTTAACATAATAGTCTTGATTATCGATTAGCAATATGCAATAGAAAAAAAAATATACATTGAACGGAGAGGATGAAGATATTAATATCATGAATTATTAGCGTAAAATTTAAATGATTTTCATGTCATCTGATATAAGTTCCATTCATATGTGTACCACTATGGCGTAAATTAATTGGGCTTAACGAAGCAAAATTAGGTCAAAATTGGATTGAACTGATATCGATGAAGAAAGCCGGAAACTCTCATAAATATGATAGAGTTTTGGCGGTTCTGTCTGGACTTGGTGGGTGAGATCGGCTTAGTTTGGTCTTACGCGATTTTAAAGCTTTTCGTTGAGTCAAACGGCGTGGAATCGATCCCACACGTGTGCAAGATAAGGAAGTGGTTAAGACGCTGGCTCGCTAGCCTGGAAGTCTGGTGTTCGATCCCTACATTGGCCGAGAAAGTTCACCGGAATGCAGGACAGTTGTCTAGTCCTTCGGATGGGACGAAAAACCGAGGTCCGGTGTACACATTGGCGTGTACGTAAAATACCCCTTGACAGTTGGAATTCGATATAAGAGTAGGCCGTAGTGCAGAATTTGTCCGGGCAAAATTTCCCTCATAACACACTGTATGGCATATGCCCGTCTTCATTAGCCCACCAGTTCGGAGCAGAACAGTAGAACGTTAAACCCTCTAATATAAACATTAGCAAGAATTAGCGGCAATATTAACAGGTGTTGAGATATATATTAGCAGGAATTGGCATAAACAGAAAACCCATCTAGATATTCACCAACTGCATCAAAACAAAATTTTAACTGTTTCTGAAATTTACAAATACATGTACACAATCAATGACACTATTTTTGTCACGTGTTTCATTAGGGTATAATGTTACCAAAGAGAGATAATAGTCTAAAATATTAAACTTGCCCGATCTAAAGAGCTTATTTTGGGCCTGCCATGTAATTAAATGTATCTATATAGCAATTAAGGGTAAAAGAAAGATCTGCAATAGACATATTTAGCTCTTCCATAATGCATCGTTAAATTGTACGTATAGGAAGAGGTGGGGGGGGGCTTTAAAAATGAGAGAACATCCGAGAATACATTTATATCAAGACGTAAAGCTGACAGACGGACAATCGCGACAGCAAAATACGAAGAATCCTAGACAAAAGAAACACGACATCGTTGGTTCAAAATATGCAATGCCGTGATTTGATTTATAATACTTACAAAAGATGTTATAATCTGAGGTCTAGAAACTCTTAGTTGAACTAAAGTCTGTAAAATACTGACATCTTGTTCTATAGTTAATCTTTCTAATATAGCTGCTAGAACACAGAATACACCCGACTTCTCTACACCATTGCTGAAACAGTAGAAACATACAGACAATAATTAATGGCTTTATCATAAAATGGATGTTCACAGCACAATGTTCAAAAACTTGAATAAAATACATCGTTGACACAAACCAGGTTAAAGAATGTGGTTTTAAATTTTCGTAAAATATAATAGATATAATCTATATTGTTTTAATACAATACAACCAACTTACAACCAATTAACTATCATAGGTAAATATTATATTAATAACGTAAACCAACTTACAACCAATTAACTATGATAGGTAAATATTATATTAATAACGTAAACCAATTTACAAACAATAAACTATGATAGGTCACTATTATATTAAAGCTGCAATTTCATATTTTTAAGTTATATTTTTAAAATTTATTAAAATAAAGCCTTAAAATAGTTGGTATCCATAAACCGTCCTACCTTGTTAAAGAATAATCCTATTAATCATATAAGTCACTATTGCCAGCTGAGAAATTGGCAAAAATATCATTTTCAACTTCAAATTCGAACGTTTGAAGGTAGCTAATGCATGGAGGCAATAGGAAAACAAGGGCGGTAATTGTGTTATTATTTCCTGTGTCATGATTTTTAAGGGTGGGAAATAATGCCCATGGTCGTATAATAGTGAGTTGATAACCTATCGACCAAAAGACATAGAAATAATTATGTTTTGACTTTCTTAGAAAATATGAAATTCTCGCTTTAATAACGTAAACCAACTTACAGACAATGAAATATGATAGGTCACTATTATACTAATAACGTAAAAAAAACCTTACAAACAATGAACTATCATAGGTCAATATTATATTAATAACGTAAAAAAAACTTACAAACAATGAACTATCATAGGTCAGTATTAAAATAACGTAAACCAACTTACCGACAATGAACTATGATAGGCCACTATTATATTAACAACGTAAACCAACTTACCGACAATGAACTATGATAGGTCACTATTATATTAACAACGTAAACCAACTTACCGACAATGAACTATGATAGGTCACTATTATATTAACAACGTAAACCAACTTACCGACAATGAACTATGATAGGCCCATCTTCATTTCGTTGAGACCATGTTTTTATATCTTCTAACATAGTAAATATTGGACTGGCAGAAGTTGGTACCCCTTTCTTCGGATTCCAGAAATTACACTGATAAATTTTGATTCTTCTTTTTAAGTTGTTCTGATTTAAATAAACAAATTTTTAATATATGATTGGTAAGATTGGCATCTATTTCTAAATATACGACGCTTCGGTCATTGAAGTTTTATTCGGTTTATTTATGGATAAACCCTTTCCCTACCCTATTCTTCGAATGGCATTTAGTAATTGGAACATACACAATCAAAAACACACTTTTATGGATAACAATTATATAGATTTTGATTAAGTTTATTACTTTGCGGCGTTTTGATGAGGAAGCTGAACAACCTCGTGGGTTTTCTCCGAGTTCTCCGGTTTCCTCCCACTGCTATGGACCCCTACACGCAAGCGTATTATTGAAATAAAATTGAACCCTATGTTAGCCTCGAAATGACCTGGTTTGTGTCGAGTGGGCGTTACCCCCCCCCCCTCTCTCTCTCTCCCTCTCTAGCTTAGTCTATGTAAACCCCCTTATATGGTCAATAAGCGAGTTACCTCCCTTTATTGGATTAAGTAGTAGTTATTAGTTCATCCGTTGAAATTTATTTGTAAAAATTTTTTATGACTTTCTAGTCGTTTGTTTTCACCCTGTTTATTTTCAATGCTTGTATAAAAGTGTTTGTTTGTCGGAAATGAACAGTACTCTTTCTGGAAAGCGTACTGTTCAATACACGGATACTTTTATGCTTGTATTGGAAATAAACAGGACAGTTTTATCAAAGGTTGCCACTGGCAACGAGGTAGCAGTGGGATGTAATTTGGAATACTCGAATAACGTTCCGGAATCCAGACTTCATAGAATGGTAACAAATACATTTTATAGGCCAGATATATTAAATAATGGAGAGACATAGATATGGTCAATAAGTCAGTTACATCCATTCATTAGTTTAATTGTTTAACTGATAATACGGTGACTGCAATAAAATGTAGCTCTGTTAAAATATCGTCGACCCCTTAAACCAAATGCTTCTTTTATATGAATTCCAATGATGCGTGTGGGATACGTGGTGGGAATTGTGATCGAATAGAGGCGTTTCCAATTACCAGGTAACTGACACCTGCAGTAGCATAGTGTAACCTCGGTTGTTCGTCCAATCAGTTGGACTACACACTCTAATCCGTGTGTGGCATTTACCGATTGAGAACATTAGAAAAAACACAGTTTATATGGAAAACAATCACTAATGCCACGTTTCAACTATCGTGCAATGCGCGACGATAGGATTGTCCCTATGGGTCCACGATCTGCTACGCACAGATATGTTCGGATAAGTTTCGATACGGTCAACACGATTGGTACGACTGACCTCAATATAAGATAAGACCTGAAAGGATCACCACGATTAAAACCACGATTAAAACCACGATTTCAATCGTAGAACGGATCGTGATAGTGGGGGAACGTAGCATTATCCACAGCCGAACAATGCTCGGCGACTGGATGCGAACCGGCACATCTCTGGTAGCAAGCCCAGTATCCTAACCACACCGATGACAACATATTGAAATGAATGAATAAAGACAAGAATTTACTTACATCTAATTCACTGTTAATTAAACAGGTAACGACTGAATAAATACCATTCTCATGGTCTGTTTCATCTTGTTTGATTATATTATATGGTCCACAGTTCAGTTCATCAGTTGCTGGTATATATTGTCCAATATCCTGTAGAGTACAAATATGTATCATGTAAACTTTTAGGAACAGGATAATAAACTATAACACATATCAAACTATAACACATGGTAATAATAATAATAAATTTATTACATCACCCAAAAGTTGAATAAAACTTACAAACCTTTTTTCCATAATCAGAAATTGTATTTAATCGATAAAACTCAACCCGAGATGACAAAAAGAGCGAGGCCGAGGTTGTTCTATCGAGGGTGTATTTCTGAGGCATTTCTGACCCGGAGGGTTGGATGGCCGAATGGTTCGCGCGAGCGCGTTGTATCATAATGTTTGTCATTGAATCAACTGGCGTGGTTTCGATTACCCGGTTGTACGTGACAAGGAGCAAGATCGCCTGTCAAACCTCGTGGGTTTTCTCCGGGTCCTCCGATTTCCTCCCACTGATAAAGACCCCTGCGCGCAAGCGAATTATTGAAATAAAATTGAAGCCGAAATGACCTATGTTTTGTTAAACCCGATCTCTTTCCCCCCCTCTCTCTCTCTCTCTCTCTCTCTTTGTCATCCATATGGTGGCGTGTATCTGCTAGTTTTCAACACCTTAGGGGGCTACGATGGCTCAGTGAGTAAGATCAAAGAGATTTACCATTACAGGTTTATAAAACTAGAGAATACATTTTAGATTCATATTTGTTTTATCGTCCAATTATCTAAATAAATTGAAATATTCCATTTATACCATCTCTGATTATGGAAAAAATTATTTAAGGTTTAAAATAAATAAGAAATATCTATGTGAGTCAGAGAAGAGTACAGGGCTGACTAATATAAATATTTGTTTACTTAATTGCAATAGGACCACAGCGGAATTAGAATGTGTCTAATCGGATTAAAATACAGATCTATATTTTGTTTCAGGGAGTCACGGTGGCTAGGTGGTTAAGACGCTGGCTAGCTAGCCTGGAGGTCGGGTGTTCGACCCCTGCATTGGCCGAGAAAGTTCATCCAGATTTTCCGACGTGGTTTCCCCTTTTCAGTGGTGCAGAACGGAGGGCCCGACAGCTGTCTAGTCCTTCGAATGAGACGAAAAACCGAGGTCCCGTGTATATATTGGAATGCACGTAAAAGATCCCCTGGCAGTTGGAATTCGATATAAGAGTAGGCGATAGTGCCGCTGCCCGGCAAAATTTCCCTTATAGCACACTGTATGGCGTATGCCCGTCTTCATTAGCCCAGTATAGGAGCAGAACAGTAGGACGTTAAACCCCATTTCATTTATATTTTGTTTCATATTTTTATACTTTCTCAATGGCCTCCATTACACGAAGATCTGATCGGTTCTTGTGGTAGATAACACATCGGCGTGGGTATTTGCAAATACAATTTTTGATTTGTCTTCGTGGCTAATCCCTCACATCAACAAGAACGTGGGTTATATAACGACCCTTCCAGATCCTAGCAACGTGAAGCCAAAAGTAAAACGAAATTTTGAACTATAAAAAACAAAATGAAACAGGACCTGTGTTTAAATCAGATTGATAAACCACAACATATAGACCAGACAAGAGCCAATAACGTAATGAAATGAAATGAAACGGGGTTTAACGTTCTAGTGTTCTGCTCCGACTTGGGCTAATGAAGACGGATACACGCCATACGGCACCAGGGCCCACTCTTATATCGAATTCCAACTGTCAAGGGATCTTTTATGTGCACGCCAGTGTGTAAACGGGACCTCGGTTGTCGTACAATCCGAACGACTAGACAGCATTCCGCCCTGCATCACTGACAAGGGGGAACCAGAGCCAATAATTCCTGTAAAGATGAAAGTACCGTCATAGTTTACGCCTAAACATGGTTCCCTTCCTAACTTAATTTCTAGAACACCCGGTGTAACTTCTAATCTGATGAGTTCTAACAAACTTTGGTTGTACTTGCGGTTGCGGCAAGTTTAATAGGGGAGAGGGGTTTTGTCTCCCTTATCCCATTCAGATATTCGGGATAAAAATATTGTTTAAACAATTACCAACAATTTTATGTAAGTAAGTCCAGATGTATACTCCTTCGCAGTGTTTCGTTTGATTAGAGCTAATCCCACTTAACACTGCTATAACAAACACACTCCCTCAAAAGCTCTAGTATCAGAAGCCAATCCAGCAATGGCCAGAGAGAGATTTCTCGGGCCATTGCTTCAGGAATATGGTCCGGGCGGATGAGGCATGACGTGTGTACTCTACGCCTTCGTTAAACTCCACAAACCCACGATTCGTTTGCTGGGGGGGTATAGCGTGTCGTTATATCTTGTAATCAAAATTAGTTTTGTCCCTACCTTTCAGCTTTTCTGTTGGTTTAATAATATGTACATTTAAAATTGTTACCTTTCCTGTTTCTGTAATATCCATATTAACTATTGTAGTAACGTCTTGTTCTACAACCATCGTCCAGAAATCTATCACTGTATTTGGTAAGGGTGTTTGGGTCAATATATAAGCATCCTTCTTTGTGTAACTCTGTAAATATACCAAAATGTTGCCAATTTTAATATATTCGATATTTGATTAAGAAGCTGGAAATCAGCGAATGATTGACACCAAGAGACGGTCATTGACATTAAAGTCATCATATACAATACAAATACTGTGGCTTCGAACCCCGACGTGGACCTATGAGAAGAACCATCACGATTTCCCATACCCGACCTTTACTCTCAGTGGGGTGGGACTTCACGAAACGCAAAATATTACATCCTCACATTGACACGTCCACAGAGATAAATATTACCATAAAATGACGGTTATATCATGACGCAATTCTGTGATTAAGAGCGGGAAAGATGGGACGAAAAACCGAGGCACCATGTACACATTGACGTGCTTGTAAAACAAGTTGGCAGTTGGAATTCGATATAAGAGTAGGTCGTAGCGCTGCTGTCCGAGTAAACTTTTACTCATATCGCAGTGTATATATCGGAGCCGAACTGAAGGACGTTAAACTGCATTTCATTGACTAGTATTATTTTAAAAGCGATTTCCATAGCATTTCTAAATCCCTAATCTGGATAATCTTCCCATTCTAATCTGTCTTACCGATATAAGCAAAGCATTGATATAATCTGTTGTATTTGGTCTCGATAAACACAGTCTAGCTTTATCCGCTGAAATAAAAATAATATATATATAACCTTTAGAGTATATAACTTCAATATAATATTGTACAAATAATATGAAAAAAATAATAGCTTATTCTTTATGTGAATTAAATACAAATGAAATGAAATGGGGGTTTAACGTCCCACTGCTCTGCCCCAACTGAGCTTATGAAGACAGACATACGCAATGCAGTCTAACTTGAGGGAAATTTGTCCCGGGTAGCGGCGGTACGGATTTCTCTTAAATCGAATTACAACTGGCAATCTCGTCGCATCTGAACAACTATACTTTGTCATTTGCCGGGACCCCCGACTTGATCCATTGACAAGACGTGGGGGGGGGGGCCGGAAAAATCAAGATGAACTTTCTCAATCAACACCCGAATCGACCATGGGATCTACAGGTTAGCGTGTCAAAGTCTTACTCACTGAGCCACCGTAGCCCCTCTAAGGTGTTGAAAACTAGAAATTAACAGATACACTCCACCATATGGATGACAGAGAGAGAGAGAGAGAGAGAGATGGGTTTAACGTCCACTCGACACAAACTAGGTCATTTCGGGACTAACATTAATTTTATTTCAATAACTCGATTGCGCGTAGGGGTCTTAATTAAACCCTTTTCATGTGATGCAATTAATTTAGTTTGACCTTAGTACTGTTAGATATAAACATTTTAGTGCAACAATCAATACGTGTTTAGTCATTCGGATGGTACGAAAAAACGACTCCCGGTGTAAATTTTGGCGTGGACGTAAAAGAACCCTTAACAACTGGATTTCTAAATAAGAGTAGAGTGCCATTGCCGACCGAAATTATCATCATAGCACACTGTTTGGAGAGAGAGAGAGAAATGGGGTTTAACGTCCACTCGACACAAACTAGGTCATTTTGGAACTAACACATGGTTCAATTTTATTTCTATAATTCGCATGCGCGTAGGAGTCTTTAGCAGTGGGGGGAAACAGGAGGACCCGGAGAAAACCCACGAGGTTGGACAGGCGACCCTACTCCTTGTCATGTACAACCGGGGAATCGAAACCCCGCCAGTTGACTCAATGACAGACCGTATGATACAGCGCGCGCGTGCTAACCATTCGGCCATAAACCAACGAGGTTGGACAGGCGCATATTTTTGGTGTATAGGGGTCTTTATGATCAAAGTCGGTAAAGGAAAGTAAGAGATAAACCCTATTTCATTTCAGTTCGGAGCCACGGTTGGTAGGTGGGTAACACGCTGGCTGGCTAGCCTGGAGGTCGGGTTTTTGATCCCTGCATTGGCCGAGAAAGCTCATCCAGATTTTCCAGCGTGGTTTCCCCTTGTCAGTGATGCAGGACGGAGGGCCTGGCAAGGACAGCTGTCTAGTCGTTCGGATGGGACGAAAAACCGAGGTTCCGTGTACAAATTGGCGTGCACGTAAAAGATCCCTTGGCAGATGGAATTCGATATAAGAGTAGGCCGTAGTGCCGCTGCCCGGGCAAAATTTCCCTCATACCACACTGTATGGCGTATGCCCGTCTTCATTAGCCCAGTATAGGAGCATAACAAAAGGACGTTAAACCCCATTTTTATCCGATTTCAATGAAACTTGAAATATAGGTTTATCACCCAAAGATCTGGCTTCCTTTCGATATTGGCATGTACCGGACTGTAACTTCATGGATTATGGCCCGTGATTGTACGAAAAATCACGTTTTTAGCTTGTGAACACTGTAGAGGTCACAATTTTTATCCGATTTGGTTTAAACTTGAAATGTATGCTTATAACCCAAAGATCTCGGTTCCTTTCGATATTCGCACATATCGGACTGTAACTGCCTGAATTATGGCCCCTGATTGTACGAAAAATCGCGTTTTCAGCTTGTGGACCCTATAGAGGTCATAATGTTTATCCGATTTAAAAAAACGTATTATTATATCACCGTTACACCCTAAGGACGGCTGAGTTCGAATTTCGTGAAAATCGGCCCAAAACTGACAGACAAAGTGGCCGCCCTTCGTTCTCAAATAGCGTAAAAAAAAATGGTATATCAAGGTTGTGGACCCTATAGAGGTCACAATTTTTATCCGATTTTGTTGAAACTTGAAATGTAAGTTTATAACCCAAAGATCTCAGTTCCGTTCGATATTCGCACATATCGGACTGTAACTTCCTGAATTATGGCCCCTGATTGTACGAAAAATCGCGTTTTAATTGTGGACCAAATATAGAAATCCAAAAATTTATCCGATTTATAAAACCGTATTATTATATCACCGTTACACCCTAAGGATGGCTGAGTTCGAATTTTCATTTCATTTCAGTTCACTATACAAATTCTATGACTAAGGAATCAGTTTCCCTCATCTTGTAAATATTTCAATATTTAAGTTCAAGACGTGAAAGAAAATAGATAAAAAATGTTTAAAATAAAACCAATAAAACCACTAACATGCTAGTATTGACTGATCTCTGTTTTTATTTTTGTTTTCTTCTGATAAAGCTACTGAACAATCAGTTGATCTTTGCGGTGGGCATACATCATCAAGCATCTGAAAAATAGATTCATAGAGTACTATAAATTTAAAACCAGCGGGTGCCAGGCAGGATACGCCCAGATTTTCGAGAGATGGATAGAGAACAAGCTAACAAGAAAGTGATTTTTCCTACAATCAAGGGCCATAATTCAGGAAATTACAATTCGATATGCGCGAATATCGAAACGAACTGAGATCTTTGTGTTATAAACTTACACTTCAAGTTTCAACAAAATCGGATTCAAATTGTGACCTCCTCAGGGTCCACAACCTTGATATACCATATTTTTACGCTATTTGAGAACGAACGGCGGCCATTTTGTCTGTCACTTTTGGGCCGATTTTCACGAAATTCGAACTCAGTCGTCCTTAGTGCGTAACGGTGATATAATAATATGTTTTTTTTAAATCGGATAAAAATTATGACCTCTATAGGGTCCAGAATCTAAAAACGCGATTTTTCGTACAATCAGGGGCCATAATTCAGGAAGTTACAGTCTGATATGCGCGAATATCGAAAGGAACCGAGATCTTTGGGTTATAAACTTACATTTCAAGTTTCAACAAAATCGGATAAAAATTGTGACCTCTATAGGGTCCACAACCTTGATATATCATATTTTTACGCTATTTGAGAACGAACGGCGGCCATTTTGTCTGTCAATTTTGGGCCGATTTTCACAAAATTCGAACTCAGCCATTCTTAGGGTGTAACGGTGATATAATTATACGTTTTTTTTTAAATCGGATAAAAATTATGACCTCTATAGGGTCCACAAGCTAAAAACGCGATTTTTCGTACAATCAGGGGCCATAATTCAGGAAGTTACAGTCCAATATGCGTGAATATCGAAAGGAACCGAGATCTTTGGGTTATAAACTTACATTTCAAGTTTCAACAAAATCGGATAAAAATTGTGACCTCTATAGGGTCCACAACCTTGATATACCATATTTTTACGCTATTTGAGAACGAATGGCGGCCATTTTTTCTGTCAATTTTGGGCCGATTGTCACAAAATTCGAACTCAGCCATCCTTAGGGTGTAACGGTGATATAATAATACCGGTTTTTAAATCGGATAAATATTAGGATTTCTATATTTGGTCCACAAGCTAAAACGCGATTTTTCGTACAATCAGGGGTCATAATTCAGGAAGTTACAGTCCGATATGCGCGAATATCGAAAGGAACTGGGATCTTTGGGTTATAAACTTACATTTCAAGTTTCAACAAAATCGGATAAAAATTGTGACCTCTATAGGGTCCACAACCTGGATATACCATTTCTTTACGCTATTTGAGAACGAAGGGCGGCCACTTTGTCTGTCAGTTTTGGGCCGATTTTCATGAAATTCGAACTCAGCCGTCCTTAGGGTGTAACGGTGATATAATAATACGGGTTTTTAAATCGGATAAACATTATGACCTCTATAGGGTCCACAAGCTGATAACGCGACTTTTCGTACAATCAGGGGCCATAATTCAGGAAGTTACGGTCCGATATGTGCGAATATCGAAAGGAACCGAGATCTTTGGGTTATAAGCATACATTTCAAGTTTAAACCAAATCGGATAAAAATTGTGACCTCTACAGTGTTCACAAGCTAAAAACGTGATTTTTCGTACAATCACGGGCCATAATCCATGAAGTTACAGTCCGATACATGCCAATATCGAAAGGAAGCCAGATCTTTGGGTGATAAACCTATATTTCAAGTTTCATTGAAATCGGATAAAAATTGTGACCTGTAGACTGTTCACAAACAATTGTGGACGGACGGACGGACGGACGGACAGGGGCGACGACAATATACGTCCACATGAAAATGTGGGCGTATAAAAATAGCTTCATACATCAAAATATATTGCAAAAATATTTGAATGATATAGTTATGGTTTTGGTATTTAAATGGCTCTGGTTCCCTCTCCTGGAGGTCCTCGGTTCGATCCGTTGAGCAAGTTCCCCGGGAGGATTTTCCGGCGTAGTTTCAGTTGAATTTAGATTTAGTGCCGCTATCCTTGCAACATTCTCCTGTCGTGGCATGCTGTATGACGTATGCACGTATCCATTTAGTGCAGAAAAGAATGTAATACGATATCATTTGGGATCTAAATTTCAATATTGTATTCTTAATTCATATTTTATTTGTAACTCAATTTTAGACATATATGAAGTGACAGATTAATTGTAAGATTTAATCTACATGTATATCAGGTGTAGGTTGTTGAAATAATATTATGTAAGATTTAATGGATTGTACAAACATGTATACTCGGAGTGTCTATATGATATAAGATTCAGGCTTAACACGTATTGACACCTTTTGTCTTGAGCTAAGATGTGTGAATCTTAATAATTACTTTTCATTGTTCTGATTACGAATGGTATTAACTATGGCGTGCCTTAACCGATATAAAAAGCCTAGTTTACAAGCAGGCAGGAAAGGGTACAAAGAGGGAAGGGTACAAAAGGAGGGACAAGAGAGACCCGTAGAGGCTGGGAGGTCTTCCGGACCTCGGGAGAGGGTCTGCCCTCGACACCGGGCAGAGGAGTCCTGTGAGGCCGTGATTCATGAATATGTGGTTATATCACAAGAAGCCGTTAAACCCCATTTCATTTTATTTGTAAATCGTGCCTGAAGCTGTGATTTACCAGATGAACTATTGACCTTTAGTAGTGTTTGATAATCTTGTTGATATGATGTCACCGGAAACGTAATATCTCCTGCGACATACCATGCAGCTAACGCATCATGTAGAAATACATATTGTTCCTGTAATAATTCAAATAAGATTATATTTAATGTGCAAGAAATGTTTTGTTGATTGTTTTCTAGTAACGTCACAGAGTCATTACTACTGGCATTACTCTCTCTCTCTCTCCCCCTCTCTCTCTCTCTCTCTCTCTTATGCTGTATGTATGATACAGTATATATAATTAAATAAACATACCCAAGTCTGGACCATGTTAACTCGTTCATATCTCATCTGTTTAACACATTTATAGATATCTACTGATCCTTCTGCTCTAGCTTCTTCTATCAACTTATCTAAACCTAGAAAAGTTCCTGTTCGTCCAATACCAGCACTGAAGACGAAACGATATAAACGCATTTAAGAGTTGTTCATTGACAAGTTCTTTTACGTGCACGCCTATGTCCCATTCGAACGCAGTATGTACGTTAGTGGTAAACTTATTTGGCACAAACATAATACATGGCATATTGATTTATGGTACAACATTAATTTTGTTTAGAACTAGTTGGGGTCGGGGGATGGGAGTGTGGCGGGGGTGGGAGTGTGGCACCAGTAAGCATTGCTTTATCCGGTCATTATTGTACGAGAGATACTCACACAACATTTACACCTAGAAAAAAAACTCTACATTGAGTTGAACTTTTGGTGGTCTGGATCCAATACAAGAAGACATCACTCCATTGTAGAAGCTGTAGCTAATGAATGTTACTCTCTAGATCCACAAAGCGTGCTCACAGCGCCCGACTCATCGTCACATAGGTTCGTTTATATAACACGGTTTATGCTTATATTTAGTAATAGTCCAAACATGTATGTCTTTAGCCGGAATTTGCTCGAAATGGATCGACGGAAACTTAACAGAAAGGGTTTACACACCTGCAGTGTACCACCATTGGTCCTGGATGTGGTGACTTGGCTTTAATGACTTTACTTCTGAATTCAACCAATGACATCATATCATTAGGAACACCTTTATCAGGCCATGATGTATAATGGTACTGTTTAATGGTCCTAGATCCACATTCATCCTAGAAAACATTTTGAAGTAATGAAGACGGATTTAATATTTTCTTTTCTGAACCAATCGGCTCCTGAAACACGCCATGCAGAGCGATATGGGGGATTTTTTCTCGGATAGCAAATGTCCCTCATAACTTCTTTCCTGAACCAATCGGCTACGGGAACACGCCATGCAGAGTGAAATGGGGGATTTTTTCCCGGATAGCAAATGTCCCTCATAACTTCTTTCCTGAACCAATCGGCTACGGGAACACGCCATGCAGAGTGGTACGAGGGATTTTTTCCCGGATAACAAAATATCCCTCATAACCACTTTCCTCGAGCATTCGACTCCTGAAACATGCCTTCATTAACTCGGGTTTGCAGTAAAGCAGACCGTTTTATCCCATTTCATGTCGCTTTAGCATATATTTGTTAAACATAAAAATACCTTTGTTATTTTCAGAGTTCTAACAGTGAAGTGAGAAAAGATATCCTCCTTCATCAATGTCATCGAAATTTGACCAAACTTCATCTTCTCGCGACTGTCGGGCCAATACTTGAAACATTTTTTCTGAAACATTGGTCCTAGTAATATTAATATTGACGATTAATAGAGAGAGAGAGAGAGAGAGAGAGAGAGAGAGAGAGAGAGTTTAACGTCCACTCGACACAAACCAGGTCATTTCGAGACTAACATAGGGTTCAATTTTATTTTAATAATTCGTTTGCGCGTAGGGGTCTGTAGCAGTGGGGGGAAACCGAAGAACTCGGAGAAAACCCACGAGGTTGGACAGGCGACCCTACTCCTTGTCGCATACAACCGGAGAATCGAAACCACGTCAGTTGACTCGATGACAGACTTATACAGCGCGCACATGCTAACCATTCTGCCATAATGCTATTATGAATGTAACATAATGCTATTATGAATGTTACATAATGATATTATTAATGAAGCATAATGACATTATGAACGTTACATATTATAATAATCAGTTATAAAACTATATCACCACAGTTTTCATAGGAATCTAATGATAGTTTAGTTTTAAACATACAGTTCCCATTTCAATTAGGTTGGTCAACATAACAATCTTTCCAGTCTGTGAAACCCACAATAATCGTAAAAAATCTTTAATGATAACATCATTTGGACCTGTGGAATTAAAATGATAACATCATTTAGACCTGTGAAATTAAAATGATAACATCATTTGGACCTGTGAAATTAAAATGATAAAATCATTTGGACCCGTGAA